CCAATTAAATTTTCCTGCTTTTCATTTTTAGATTCACGAAGAAAATTTAATTTCCGAGAACGTTTCTACTTCTATCGAGTTCCAAGATTTTTGCTTCGGGCGAGAAAAGGTATTTTTCGCGAACAAAAACAAACCGGATTTTTTCGAAGAAAGGTTAGCAAAACGTGGTTGTTTCCCGTTTCAGAAAAGCTCTCCACTATATTCCCGACGAAAATATTTACTCTCGCTTTTCAAACGGATTCTTAAGAAATACCCAGGCGTGGACTCGCATCGCTCAGATTTCATATGACGTTCATACTGGCACGAAAACGAAGCCAAATCCCGTGGGGGGTCAGTTTCATGACTCGCACCCAACCCGGGTCAGGGGCACGTGTTCTCGGTTTCAATTTTTTTTTTCAATTTCTCTTCCATCTTTTGCTTTTGACAGACGGTCTGAAGTGCAGGGTATCAATTTCTCCCTACGATTTCCCAGCAATAATCGCGTCGCATCATGTCAAATCTTCCGACGATCATCGTCCTGGGTTGTCTTGTGAGGTTTCGAAAACAAAACGAAAAAACCTTACGCTTACGATTCTTCGAATCGGGGAGGCAATTTTTCTTTTTTCCTGTTGCAAGGTGAATTACTTTCACAAGGTGCGCTTGATTTCAGAGGCCTCATAAGACTGTACCATTACTTGTTGAAAATTTTCTGCGTACATTAAAATTTTTTTTTATTCATTCCACATAATTTTACACTGATCTAAAAACTAAGTCAAGTATTTCCGAACTCTTGTTACAGAATAATAATTGAAGCATCTCACGAACTGCCAATTATTGAACTTTCTTTTCCAAGCGTTGAACGCCATTTCCATGCCACTTTCAAAACATTGATGATCCTTGGGTCATGAATTTTGCGGAAAATCGTGGACAATTACCAATTTCGAAATTATTTACGGGCGGAATTAGTGATGGATGATGCACTGAATGTCGATTTGTGTTTTACATTACCTGTCGAAAGATTATTAGTGAACCGAATTATTATAACCTGCCAAAACGTTGATACCATTATTTAAAAAAAAACGAAGCGGAATTTGTGCCTTGTAAGTTCAACTCTTACCCGAGCCTATTCATTTTCCTCTGAGCTCTTAATTATTCAAGCTTATGCAAATTAAGGTTCGTGTTTAATCCAGTCGTAGTACTCTGAGTCGGATCATTCGGGAAATGCGTTGAGTCTTGCGCACGATTCATAAATATTTGATTACCCGGGCGAAGACACAGAGTCATTAGCGATGATAATCGGAAATATAACGTAATTCCATTACCCATGGACGTATGATCGGTTGAGTGAAAAATGGGAAATTTATGTAGATATGAAATTATGTCCAGGATCATCAGATCATTTGGAAGAATGATCTGATGTGACCTGCACTGCATTTCTTTAATTCTTTTAAAAAATGACGAAAGAAAAGTCGACTGCGCGCGGAGATTTGACACCCGGACCCCGTTTATTTCAAGATTTTTGCGGCATTCACTCAGCTTTAGGTCCCCTTATTTATTTACTTGTATTCGCATTATTTGAAGCTGATTGCTGATCATACTCATCGAATCGAAAAGTTATAAAAGCCGCGTCATCGCGCGATGAGGACGGGGTAATGAATGTTGGCCCAGCACGGCGTCTTCGGTGGTCGAGACGACCCTTTTGTTCTTCTCGCCGTCAGGTAAAAGCTTCTGGTCGGGCCTTCTTTGTTGGCTAAATATCCACTGAATCGCGTCGCGAAAGATGGAGAAAAAGAGTGGGGGAATAATCTTGCCTCGGTGCTGGTAATGAGAACAGAAAGCGCTGTATCATTGGAACACCCCCGGAGCGCGGAAACCCGTTTGCACAGCTTCGCCTCGCCCTGATGACGACGACGACTCGGTGGTACGTTCAAATGCACGGGTTCGAAATCGTTGAAGGGGTTTTTCGAAGGACAAAAAAAAAATCGGTTGAAGTTCGACCGAGCTGGGACGAGGCGGCGTGAAAAATTCAGTACTGTACCTACCTGTATTTCAATGTGACCTCTGTGGGTGTCACGTATCCTATTTCCCCATTCCTTAGGCGTTCAAAATATCCACACGCAAAAAAAAATAATCCATGAAATATTCATGTATGCAGTTTGCGTGAGAGATAACCGAAAGTTGGTGAAACTTTCGATGAGGTATGAAAAAATACACATGACAGCTCTCGCTCTCTCTGCAACGAAACCCAAGTGTGGGAAACATTGTAAAGCAAATATCGTTGTATTGGAGCTGCTTTTACGGAATTTGATTGAGGGTCCACTGAATTCATTGCGCGGGGAGATTTTGTAGACAGCTGTTGTTGAGAATGCCCTCACATACTTGCATGGTATTGAAATTACTGCACATTTCCCCATGAAATCGAATGGTATTGAGCTTATTCAATAGAAAATATATCGCTGTTTTCAAATTTAAGCTGTAAAAGTTCACGTTCTGAAAGTTCACCCTGCTTTGATGTCCAAAGATGATTAACCCTTTGTATTTTAAGTTCTGCCATAAAGGCCATATTTTATTGCAAATGCTGTGATTCCAAGGCCACAGCTTTTTCCCCCAACGATTATCACTCGTAAATTGAAAATTCTTTAAAATTGGTTTCACAAGCTTCAGCCTCGCGAACATTTATATTTCCAACTCCATTTCGAGACTTTCCTTTAAATTCTTGGCACTCCCTTTCAGTCTCAACCTTGGTCAGAAAATACAGCCAGTCTCCATTGGAGCAATTTATCATGGATACGCCAAAAACAACACTGATGAAAATCCGTTTCACCCCCACCAACGCTTTGCTTATCGCTCCTTACTTAGCCAAATAAATATTCAACTTGTTCGGATTACATCTATGATGATTCCATTGTTGTTTTGCAAACTATATCGAACTCCGCGGATTTCAGCAGAAATTTCGAAAAGCTCTTGAAACACTGAGGAATGGAACTTTCCCAAATCGACGTTGTGTTCTTTATTTGACGGTCCAGGTCCCCTCAAATTATAATGACCGACTATTTTTTTTTACGTAGAATATACTACTATATTTTGTAAAACGCTTCATGTTCATTAATGAGAGGTTCGCTAAAACTTGTAGAAAATGCAGCTCGGTAGAATATCGCTGCAGAAAATGCTTTAGTACGAGTCCGTCTGTACTCGAAAGTTTGAAAAAGGAGATAAAAAAAAAACTTGCCGCCATAAGGTGGGTCAAGATTTGAATGATAGAAATGTTAACGGGGCACCATAAAAGGATGTAAGTGCCTTGCGCAGGCTAAATGACGAAATTCTGTATCCAGGAGCGCATAGTACAACCCACAAGCACACGCGTGTTGAAAGTTTTCTCGCTTCTTTCCTTTTTCAAGTACACGTACATCACAATCTGAAACACGCGCATTTTGGCTACGTGATATGAACGAATAGACAGGCGTTCGGTGGGTCTTTCGGAAGACTTGCTAGGCTTTGGTGAAGGCTCGCATACTTCTGAATGCGTTCCGGATACAGTAATGTTGCAACAAATCCACTAGGACCTAGAAAATACCTGCTGTTAAATCAAAATTCCCCATGATTCCCCCGAGGGACCTCAAAAAAGTAGAGCTGGGTGGTCGAATTCTGTTCGAAATCTTAACCATACATCGTTACAACGAAATTGACCCGGGCCTCCGATTTACAGTGCTCAAATTTCGATTAATCCGAGATGAAACAAAAGCGGCGGAAATATATCCGCTGTATTTATTTTCGATTACTGTAAAACTAAATGTGTGTCACAATTCTGTTTATGTGCGGTGGGTCTTATATTTACCCCCCTCTTGAATAAAAGTTTGAATACGATTTATGTCAAATAATCGGTGAAATTCGAATATCTGGGGGAAGGCTCTCGGTCATCAACCCGGATAATTCGTGATGATTTTTTTTAAATATTTTCACGAACCTTTTTCCTTCCTCTTATTTCCCAGAGTTCCTAGCAGGGGCTCCGCGGAAGATGAGGGGGGAACAATTGGAATGAAATAAAATAATTACGCACACAGAATTAAGTTGCTGGTGATTCGTTTTTCTATATTTAAACGTATCTTTTCCCTTTTTTGTCACTGACGCCAGGGAAAGATTGTTCAAATGTTCTGGACCAATACTCACAGTGGAACCCTCACCTGGAGTTCCACGAATTTCGATGGGGGCTCCGCGGCTGCTGCTGGAAATTGTGAAGAAAAAATAAAAAACCCTGGCTAGCATAACATTTATTATATGACACGCAGGAGAATAAAACCGTGCGTGAATATCCCGCACTGAATAATGGGAATCATCCCGAGAAAAAAAAATTCTTTCGATGCGCTGCTGAAGAAAGTGATCCACCATAGAGCTCCTTGCAAAAGCTTAGACCAGTGTTCCCCGACTTTTTCGGACCCAGGGATCTGAAAATTTTCATACAATTTTCTGTGGACCGGCATATTCCCACAACAGTTTCTTCGGGCGGGCTGCGTTCCATAAAATTTGTGCAGACCGTCAGAAAATTGTTTATATATCTCCCATGAAGTCCTAAAAAAAAAGTTGTGCAGTACAGTACAGTATTTCAAAAATTCAGTTAAGAACCAGTGAAGCAGCTATAGTGCGATGCCTTCAAAAAAGTAGAAAACTGGGCTTAAAAAATAGTTTCCCAGGAGTAAAGCTGGAAATAATTTATTTCAGCAGGTGCAAATTATTCTTGAGTGTTGTTACAAGGGAAAAGCCAACTCTTATTTTAATCAGATAATTTCAACTACCATTGTCTTTCCAAACCATCGGATAACAATAACAGACTTCAATACAATTTCTTATGCATTTACTGAATTATGCCGAAATAAACTTCCGAGGACCGGCGCCGGTCCGCGGACCACGGGTTGGGGAACACTGATGCAGACTACAGTGTAGAGATCTCCCCGTGGAAATTCAAATTTATATGTGACACTTGAAGAAAAAAAAAATCAAATCGTCGTTTTTGTCTCCCCTGACAGACTGTGATGGAGGAGCCGGAGATCGTGGAGGAGCTGATCATGGGCATGGCATCTCAGATAGCCGAGAAGGAAGACACCGTGCTGTGCTCCGACGTGCGCGACAAGTTGTTCGGGCCTCTGGAATTCTCGCGGCGGGACTTGGGCGCCCTCAACATCATGCGCGGACGCGACAACGGCCTCTCCGACTACAACACCATTCGCAAGTGCTTCAAGCTCCCGCCAGTCAATTCCTTCGAGGAAATCAATCCCGCTCTCAGCAAGGACAAGGACTTGCTTTCGTAAGTCCACCACAATTTTATTTTTATTTTTTATTATTTCTCAAACCACCACCACCATCACCACCCCCCTCTATCCACCGATAACCTCCCTCTCATTGGTAGCCTGGATTTGACCGTGTCGACTACAAGGCTGCTGTTGACGGAAGTCTTGTTTTATGCCACCTTAAAAATACTATTTATTGTCGATCGTTTTCTCGTAAAAGTGGCAAGGAATAAGATACGCGTGGAATGCATAGAAATCTCATGAAAGAAAATTTTCCGATGAGGATTATTACTTGGAAGATTCGCGCTCGAAAAACGCGAAAGCTTTTGGCAGTTGAGGACTTGCGTCCAATTTGATACATTCAAGACAAATAAAGATCGCGTAGTTTGAAAGAAGCCACAGAAGAAAGAAAAAAAAAACGAGAATAACTTCTCGAGAAAATTAACCATCTTACAATGTTGTCATGACTTCCGAGAAATATTTTGGAATTTTTTAAATCGCCAGTGCAGATAGTCGACATCGGACAGAAAAGTCTGACACCCTGCGCAAGAATTCGTGAGAGATTTTCACAACAGATGTTTGAGAATCAAGTGACACTTCAACTTGATTCAATTTACGGTATAATCGGGTGCTCGACAATACGACGAGGTAATAACCGAGTGAACAGTTGTGGGAGGAACAGACCGAAGAAAATGAATAAAGCTGTTTCATCATGTTTTTGCTTGCTATGCCTCTATTCCTGAAATGCCATGTTTGAATTCCTATTTGGAACTTAGCTCTTCGTAAGTTATTCGCCACTTTAATTGAAGAAATGTCCGCTACTGCTCCGAAAAATTTTGCAAGCATATCTCAGCGTTCGAGTTAATTCTCTTTTTTTTCGTCGGGGAAAGAAAATAAGAAATTTTTGTTTCATTTACTTTTCAATCTTGTGAATTCCTAGAATTTTTCCTGAGGCCAATATTTTTTGTCGCGGATTAGTGACTGTGAAGTTAAATATAAACGACGTTGATGTACCTTGAATGAGCAAGATTTCAAAACCACTGCGAGAGAAATAGTAAAATAACGGGTAGTATTCTTGAAAAAATTTGCTGTGGAATCGAGAGTATCTGAATTTTCTCATTTGAATGTCAGATTACAGTATCTCTATTTCATCAAGTTTTTGAAAAGTTCTGTGCATGAAATGAGCGTAAAGAATTTAAAGAAGCCAAGCAAGAACTTAGTCATCAATCCACGACAGGAAACGTCTCATCCGGTTTTTAAAAGAAATTCTCGAGAGAAAAAAAAAATTCTTATCGCTTTCGATCCATTGATGGAAGTACTGTATAAGGTGATCACTTTTTTTTCAATTTTTATCGGTTTTGTTAAATATTTTTCAGTAAACTGAAGGAGTATTACGGAGGCGTGGACAACATCGATTTGTATGTCGGGGGAATGTTGGAATCGCAGCAAGGCCCTGGACCTTTGTTTCGAGCCATTATCAGAGAGCAGTTCGAAAGAATCAGGGACGCCGATCGATTCTGGTTCGAAAACACGGAAAATGGGTGAGTTTCCATTGGTGTCTTTTCGAATGCAAAAATAAAGAGTTTATTTATTCACGCTTTGCGAACAAACGAGCGGAAAACCGCGATTGCGAACGGAAGGTCTCATTTCCCCCCACGGACAAGCAAAGATTGCGTCAGACGACTTCAGCTCGAATTTACTTTGCGATTCGAAGCCCTGCAAAATTGTTGAAAGGACATTGTTCCCTCTTGAACTCGATCTCAAAGTCACCGCATTCACTCAAATATAGCTTCGCAATTTTTTTCGTGCGATTAATTCACGGTTCGAGAGTTGGATTGGAGCTTGTGTGAAATCAACAGTTCTTCTGATCCTGAATTCCGTCGAACATTTGCATGCAAACTTCGTTGCTGAGGTGCACACAGATAGTCTTATATTTGAGGGAATACTTTCTTGAGGGTGGAAACTGATCGTTGGGAAACAATTTATGAAACTGCCCGTTTTTAAACTTTCAACAAAAAACCGACAGGAAATTTAAATTCGAGGGCCTTGATTTTTCATCATACTGCTCATTCCGGATGCCTCGAATGCTGCGTTGCGACATTCTCTCGCACTCATTTGTTCTCTCCGGAGCCTCGCCTTAATCGTTTTATAATGTAACATCGGGCGAAGCAGGCAACAATTACCGCACTGGACACTGAGAAATGTATAAAAGGAAACCCTCCCGAGAATATCAGAGGGTTAAGAAGAAAAAAAAATGAGATGATGAATATCTGATGCACGTTTCAGCGTTTATGTTGAGCGATGCGCATGCGTTTTTAAGTCGCGCATTCGGCGTGATGCTGCCTTTGCGCGTTCTTGTGCTGCGCGATGATGAGAAATGTGTCGGGAAGATGAAGTACTAAGGGGGTTCTTGGCCATTTATGATGACGAACGCGTTTGACTTATCAACGCTGTGATTGTGTCTCAGCCAACAGTTCTTTTCCGAAAGTTCTGGCAGACATTTTCGAGCCGAAATCTGAGAAAGAGAAAAAGAGTATTTTAACGCTGCGAATTTGTCTTAATATTTGCGTATTTCATTTGAAAAGTATTTTCCTTCAAAAACGAAAACAAACAAAAAACCCCACGAATAAGAATGCTCTGTCTGTTTAAAACGTGCCAGAAAGCAATGTCCAAAGTAAAGATGAGCGCCTGAATTTGAGACTATCATCAACGCTGTGAATGTGTCTCAGCCAACAGTTATTTTCCGAAAGTTCTGGTAGAAATTTTCGAGCCGAAATCTGAGAAAGCGAAAGAAGAGTATTTTAACGCTGCGAATTTGACTTCATATTCGCGTATTTAATTCGAAAAGTAATTTCCTTCAAAAACAAACAAAAAACCCCACGAATAAGAATGCTCTGTCTGTTTAAAACGTGTCAGAAAGCAATGGAAAACAACGTATCTTTTCATGTCCAAAGTAAAGATTAGCGCCTGAATTTGAGACTATCATCAACGCTGTGATTGTGTATCAGCCAACAGTTCTTTTCCGAAAGTTCTGGAAGAAATTTTCGAGCCGAAATCTGAGAAAGAGAGTATTTTAACGCTGCGAATTTCTCTTCATATTTGCGTATTTCATTTGAAAAGTATTTTCCTTCACACAAAAAAAAAAAACGAATAAGAATGCTGTGTCTAAAACGCGTTAGAAAGCAATGGAAAACAACGTATCCTTTCATGTCCAAAGGAAAGAGGAGCGCGTGAATTTGACACTACAGTATTTGTCACGGAAATGTCATTACATCGAAGCCACTCTAACAGTGTCAATCCTGTATAGGTAGGTGTTGATCGTAGTTAATTTTTTTTATGGCAGCCCTCGTGATTCTTGAATTCTGTTGATGAAAAAACCGGTAGTATGAAACATTTTTCTCTCAAGTCTTGGACCACGTTTCTCTCGATTTCTCCGAAAGGCACCCATACATTTTTTGCACTTACAACCGATCGAAGCGCAATTCGAAAACTGTTCAGATATTTTTCATTATTGAGAGACTCTGCGTATAATTTATTTTTTACAACATTTTATGTGTTTTCATGCTGCCAAAATCCGTGCTTAATTCGAATAAATTCACTAAATCCGCCGTTCGTTGTATTTTCGACAGACATTTTGACCTGTTTTTCAGTAAGACATTTGTCTCTTTCTGTCGATTTTCAGAAGTTTTCGATCCTGTAAAGTACTGTATTCCAGGAATCTGTGCATGTGTGGATGCGGCTTCTAATTTAACGGGGTAAAAGCAGAAAGAAAAAGGCTGTGAGAAAATCCAGACGACTCTTGAGCCTCGTCTTTTAGAAATGAAATTCAAATTATTAAGGCGCATTTAAAAACAAACTCTGAAGTTCTTATGTTTTAAACTTGTGAAGTAACCTTCGAATTTCCCTACCCGTGATATACGCCGCGTTTCTGCAGTGATGTGACGCAAGAACAACGACAACAAAAACAACAACAATAACCAGAGACGGAGGTTTTTATGCAGATGTCTGCTCCGCTGCAGGATACGAATGCTGTGTGGGCATGAAAGTCGGTGCACTAGTTTTATGCCGAAGATAAATTGCTTCCCCGTGCTCTCTTTCTCGTTCGAATGGTAGATTAACGCCTGCTGTGACTAAGCAATGCGATCTGTTGCTGCCAGTTGTTTCTTCACACTGGGAAAACGATGAATCGCCGTTTCTTCGGCATCTTGCAATCTTTTTCACTACCCCACGGAAAAAACAAAATGTATTTGCTGAATTATTTTCAACTTGACGCGTTGTTCATCTGCGAAAGGTGTGGCACTCTTCATTCCCTTGATGAACGACCCAAAACGGTGCTACATTTTCAATCTATTTATACTGTGTTACACGCCCCTGTGTGCATTGCAATATTGTTAACCTTTGAATTAATTATTCTGGAACGCTGTTTTCAGGTTGTTTTTTCTTTAATGATTATAATTTAGCCTAGGAAGTGCTCCCAGGATTTCTGATTTACATTCCTTATCTGACCGGTTCCACGCAGCGGGAAATAATTGCAGTCAGGTGTTCTACTTATTTTTTCGACTTTTTTTGTGAGAATTTTCGTTCATTCGTAAAAAATGCATTCGATTTGGCAGACGTGAAACCGAATGGAATTTTGCATTGGATCTCGGCAGTGTTTAGGGTGAATTTAGAAGCATAGCTAGTAGATACACTACGTCAAGTTCGATGTCGATGTGAGAAACCCCAAGGTAAGGAAAAATACACTCGTAACAAATTCTGCGAGTACCGTATATGCCTTGCCGGGTTCCCTCAGGGTTTCCTTGAAAGACTGGGCCTTCGTATTTAGTTGTTTTTGCGTGTTAGATTTAGTTTATGACCTGGTGGATAAATCGAGCATTAGGCGCATGATCCTTTTAAACCCCCTGGAGGTGCAGCCAAATTCTCAATCTCTTTTACGATATATTCTGCAGCCAGTGACCTACTAAATGCTTTTCCGCAGTAATGTATTCCTCGTTGATCTTTTTTTTTCACTTGAGTGAGCTGTTTGAAATATGCAGATTATCTTTATCGAAAGCAGACTGGAATTCTTGCATGTCCCGATCATATCCTTCGGAAGTCTAAGCTAATCTAAAGTGGAACCCTACATTGGAAACCCGATGGTTTTTGTTTTATTTTTGGACTGATGAATATCGTCTCCAAGGAAAGAATGGTCGAATTATTGTGGTTTAACTTAACGTGTAGTTAATTAAAGGTTACTACAGTATTCGTACGTCGAGTTTGGCAGCACTGTGATCAAAATCAAAGAGCGTTTCAGTTATAAAGTACTGTATGAACAAAAGCTTGAGCATTTGCTCGTTTCGTTTTGAAGAGTACCAAGTATTTTTGAAAATCTAATAATGTTTTAAAGAGTTTGTGTTGAATGGATTCAGGCGAGTTGACAGCACTGGGATCAAAAACGAAGAGCATTTAAGCAATAAGGTGTGAGCAATAGCACGCAATTTTGATAGTTACGTGTTGTGGTGTACCACACATTTTTGAGAGCTTAATAACATTTTAAAGAGTTGAAAGAAAATTGAATAAACTAAAGGCGATTACAATATAATCCCCTGAATTCATAATTTCAAATAATTTTATCGCTCGCTGCCCCAAGTCCTGATTTTCGATTGTGATTGCCGGTGAGTCGCTCATTTTTCATCAAGAGGCATCGAGCTTTAAATAAAGAAAGTAATAAAATTTATTCTCACTTCATCGGCGAGAGAAATATACTGAACCAAAATGGGAGCTCATGAGTATTAAACGTGCGATGAAAATGATTTTTGCATTCTGGTCACGAGCATAGCTAAGATGCACGTGTTCGATGAATATAATCTGCACATTGAATAAATTAGGCGTTTGGCTCACCGATGTAATCGCAGTTTGAAGGCGAGCTTATTGATTACCATTCTGAATCAGGTGTTGGTGAATAATCAGGCGGTAGCTATTCGAGTTAATTTATTCCGAATTTGGAAACAGTAATAGAACCATTAATGTGCATCGAGTCAATTTCGAAGCACGATATCATACGATACATCGCAATGGAATATTCAAAACTAATCTCGACACAGTCGATCTTACGCAACCAGAAAAGTCGGAATCGCTTGATTTCGTTGAGCATGACTTCATAATTTCCCCCTTTTTCATCGTTTTGGCATATACAGTGATACGGTGTCAAATTCGCGTACTGTATAAGAAAACTGGGTTGAAATGTTTCAATTGAAGTTATTCATCTCCAGTTTTTTCGTTGGCTTGTTGGTATGTAAAACAAAACAAAAACTTCTGAAAACTTTCTCAAGCACATGGACTGAAAAAATTTAATTTATGATTTTAAGAAAATATGTTTTGGGATAACTGTTCCGAAAGCATGCGTATTCTTCTAGTGATGCATTTGAAGTATAGAATGGTAAGACCCTTGCCTTTCATGAATGATGCGATTGGTGTGGGTAGATGTCACTTGCAGTCACAGTTGAGACTCCATCGAGATTCTCCATCGGTTTTAGGCTTCTTCCTGCGTGGACACGTGGTG